ACAATAGAAATGTGGCGGTGGTGGTATATAGTTTCACTATTTACGAAGCAGTGTTGAAAAAAAAGTTGAGTGTAGGGCCGATGTGGGATCGATGTAGGGTCGATGTATAAAGGTCGATGTAGTGTCAATGTGGGGTTGGTGTAGGGTCGATGTGGGGTCGATGTGGTCGTAGATAGAAAACATATATAATAAAATGAGGAGTTATAAGTAGCGATCGCGAGTTATAAGTGGCGATCGCGAATTATAAATGGCGATAGCGAGATATAACTGGGGATCGCGAGTTATAACTGGCGATGGCAAGTTTTCAGTCATGTCCAATACTGCCGCACTGTTACGGACCGTTAAGAGCAGTTAACGGACCGTACGTTCTGCACAAACCGTCACTATTACTCACGGTCCGTATGCTGAGCACATACGGAGCGTGCATCTTATTATTACATGAGGACACAATGCGTTACGGTTCCTTCGATCCGTACGGTCCGAAGACATACGGAGCGTGCATCTCATTATTACATCAGGGTACATTGCGTTACGGTTCGTTCGATCCGTACGGTCCGAACATACGGACCGTGCATCTCATTATTACATCAGGGCACAATGCGTTACGGTTCGTTCGATCCGTACAGTCCGTAGACATACGGAGCATGCATCTCGTTATTACATCAAGGCACAATGCGATACGGTTTGTTCGATCCGTACGATCCGCACGGCAAGAGAGGCGCACTCCAACTGTAATATTCCTCGTTCTATAAACGATAAACCAACACAAGCGCAAAAACCAAGAAAGGCGCCCTCCAAATGTAATATTCCTCGTTCTATAAACCATAAACCAACACAAGCGCAAAAACCAAGAATGGCACACTCCAAATGTAATATTCGTCGTTCTATAAACCATAAACCAACACAAGCGCAAAAACCAAGAAAGGCGCACTCCAAGTGTAATATTCCTCGTTCTATAAACCATAAACCAACGCAAGCACAAAAACCAAGAAAGGCACACTCCAAATGTAATTTTCCTTCTTCTGTAAATCAAAACAACCCAAAAACCACGGTATGCACGCTATAGGTTTTATGCTTGTGTCTAAATGTGATGTTCTTGTAAGTGAAAAACCAAAAGAAGCGCGCTTCAAATCGAAGAACAATCGTCAATAAGTTTATAACTAATACAAGAATCGCCGAAAGGCGATTTTTAACTGGGCTGCAAAGGGGCTATTTTTTCTGAGGGGGAGGGGGCGGCTATACACTCTCAGGCTACCATAAAACCTTGTCGGCAACCATTGCATGCAACAGAATCTCATGTGAGACTGAAACATAAACTCATTCAGAACATTGTACCCTTTTGAAAGACTTTCGTAACCAAAAAAAAGAGTACCATTTTTAAGTGGGGGCTGTATAATAACTTTTAAATTCCACCATTATGAATAAAAATAAACAAGTTAGCCATTAATTCTAAACAGGAAACAATTTGCATTATTTACACGCACCCCTCCCGCCCCCAATCCCTCTGTGCCCCAAAATATAGCGTGACAGTATAACGTGACTAATTTGACGTAACCGGAAATTCCAAAAATTGTTGTCCTTCTACGAGCATAAAATACGACAGACTGAGCTGATTTACACTAGACAGAAATATTGTATTGTATGAAAACCAGAAGTATACTAAAACAGACAGTTAACTGCCCATTGATCCCGCCTGGTCCAGGGGCCTCACTGACTGCACGGAGACTTTACTGCGCTTTTCACAAACATGCGAACTCTAAAGTTCAAAAGCCACCTTCACAATTGTGTTTATCGCTGCCGTCAATCATAATTACGATTACAAGTAACGAACCTTGAAACAGAGAAACACACAAAACGGATCGAAATCCACAAATCACAAACCATGACCTTTTGAACCCATGAAGTAATGTTTTGTTTCCTAAGAGGTCCGTTAAGATGATTGACAGCAGCGAAAAACGCAATCGTCGGTTGGGTTCTGAACTTCAGAATTCGCATGTTTGTGAAAAGTGCGATCCTAATTTGCGGTCCACAGTCTACATGAAAACGCACTATTTTTTCCACAAGATGAAAAGTATTCAGTTTTAAGATTTTCCTCACGGTATTTTTCTCTAACTTAAAGGAATAAAATCCTTTGCATTTTGAGACCTGAAAAAGTTTAAAGATTTCTCGCTCGCATGTTGCGTTCACCAGCACGCACTTCAAACAATGTAAATAGATGAAACGATCGATAACATATTTTTTACCTGATACCGATGTGAGTTAAAAATTCGCTCCAGTTCTGTTTGTCTCAGCCAAGACTAACTTTTCTTCATGGAAGATACCTATGCCGCTTTATAACTCGTCCGAGGTTTTTGTGCCAGCTAAACAATATGAAAACACTATTGACAGTGACTCCTTGGATATTAAAAAGACTGAACGTGACGCACTATTATGCCTTTGTTTACTTCTGATCACATCTTCAAGCGAAGTCTCTCTTTTCAAGTGATTCATCTCAATGCACAATAATTGACCCTTATATTAGTTAAAATCCTATGGTTCATTTATATTAATGCTGTTTTTTTCCCCTCACATTGACTGTGTTCGTTCGTATTCAAAACACCTTTACGAAAATAAAGGTCGTATAAGTCATGTGTGTTATATTTCGAGATAAATGGATTATACGCTTTTTTAGGTTTCCATTTTTCGGTGACTTCAGTTTACATCTCCATAAAATGGTAAAAGAAATATCAAGAAACATCACGAGAGCTGAAAATTGTCAAAGGCATGTTTCTGAAACTCGCTAATGCTGACATCAATATAGCGTGCTTGCTGAATGGGCGAAAACACAGAATTGTGATCACAAGATCTTGTACAAATTTAATGACAAAAGCTTAGCAAGATACAGATACAAACAAAAGCAAACCCCCTGAAACCTCGACGTGGGCTACATTTGTATGCTCTACTCAGTCACCAAACCTTGTCAGTAATAGAGGGGGGTGAATAGGGGTATGCAAATCCGCCGATCCGTGGTATTTTTAGGCCCGATCCGTCGATCCGACTTAATTTTTGTTCAAATCCGAATCCGTGTTACTTTAAAAATTTTTTCTGGTATAAAGAAAGTAGCGTTGTAGCATGAAAAAATGAATTACTTAATATAGTTGTTCTGTAATCACAACAGATGCGGGACTTCATGTTTAAAAAGTTTTCGTTACAGCTTCAAAACATTAAGCATTAGGGACAGAGTTTATAATGTTTCTTCCAACAATACAGATTTGACTTATCAAATAGTATGCAAGCGTGCAAAATGAAAGTATCAGGTATTTACTTACTGACATCACTTTGGACATGCTTCTAGTCGAGCCGCAAAATTCGGAAGAGGCAGAACTCAACTTCATGGTAATTTGCTTACCAGTAAGTATTTTCCATGGTTCATCTTGGAAGTCTTGAGATCTTGAGATCTTTTTCACACAAATATGTTCCCACTTAGCGGCAACAGACGGGTAAAAGGGTTAGCCACGGCAAACTGCATTTGTTTTCCGGTTCAGATACAGAGTTTCATTTACTCGTAGTTTGTTTTGTACTCAATGATCGTCAATCCTAGCATTAAATATAAGGAGCAAAATCCAGTTTATCATTTCACCGATCAATTAGTAAATTTGATTTTTTAATAGTTCATGAGTCGCCGTCAATCCTAGCATTAAATCTGAGGGCTCAAAAATCCAGTATAACAGTCTAGCGGATGTGATTACGGAAAATAACTCTCATCTGACGAAGTGAATGTGGGAAGCGCTGTGGGCTAATGGTTAGTGCGCTGGACTCTGGAGCGGACGGTCCGAGTTCGAGCCCTGGCCGGGGCACGGCGTTGTGTTCTTGGGCAAGACACTTTACTCTCCACCCAGGTGTATAAATGGGTACCGGCGAAATAATGCTGGGGGTAACCCTGCGATGGACTAGCATCCCATCCAGGGGGGAGTAGAAATATTCCAAGCTGCTTAATGCTACGGAAACCGGGATAAGCTCCGGCAGTATGGGCCACTTGGCACGAAGCTTTACCTTTTACGAAATGAGTCTGTTGTTTATTCGAACTTGTCTCCCAAAGCGAGTGGAAACTCGAACAAGAAAGGTTGATGCCCTGTCTAGTTCCAAAACAGCAGTACCTTCCTCGACTTGCTCTTCATCAGAGCTGCTGTCATACTCTGGTATCTCGTCAGTATCACTGATAGCTGCGTTTTCAATTTCATCATTGCACGTTTGTGTATCTGTTGATGGCATCGATGATCTACGGCCTATACCTGTTGAAACATCTACCTTGTCTCCAGATATCTCTAGTTGCCTTTGGTAGATAAGCTTAGGCATTGTTCCATGCCGTGCCATAGTGGTTTCTTGGCGGTTGGTTCTCTGCCTCACAGCAGCTCCATACGTCAATGCATAATCTCGCATTTGACCGATTTCCTTTTGGGACAGTTTTACGTCTGGAAGTGGAGGAATGGAAGGTAGTGCAGAGAGCGGGATATCGTGCTCTGGCTCTGGATACCACGAGCTCTTTTCGCTGGTGAAGTAATGAAACGAGGAGCAAGAGAGCCGCTTTGTAGTCTCCTTGACGGTGTTTCCAAAGTCTCGGCAATATTCTTTTTTGGAAAGAAATGGATGTTTTACATGAGACGTGGAATGAAAATGTTCAACATCCAAAGTCATCCAGCTAAGGAGACTTGTGTCATCGAACGACAGACTGGATAAGAGAGACTTCAGTCTTCGTACACCCCAGTCAAGAAGGTCAACCGATTTCACAGTAACAGCGGAAACCATACCCTGTGGTCCATTAAGCGATATATTGGAAAAACCGTCTTCAGAGCGCACGGCTCTTTCCAGCTCAGAAAGGAAGCGTTTGCACTCTGTGATCCTGCTCTCAGCCTCTTGCAAGGTTCTTTTTTGGACACTCTGACCTTTCTTATGGACAGAGAATGCGTCGTACAACTTTCCTATCGCGCTTAAAAACTTGGCAGTTTGGGAGAGGGGCGTCATCACTTTAACACAATTTGACTGTGGATCACACATGTAGACAACGTTGTCAAACTCCACGCAATTCCCATTGGTTGCTTGAACTTGCATTCTGCGACAAGTCCATCAAGAGAACCTTCTGTTTCACTGCCAGCAAATATATGAATATTTTCCTCTTCGTCGATCTGGTAGAGGGTCGCTTCTTGTTGATCGGTAAAGAGAGCACCATTTTTGAAGGGCACCACCGTGCATTTGGCATGATTTGACCTGTAGACAGCATGGCATTGATGCGACTCAAGACACACCACAGATATTCCTTCAGCGTGTGAAGCAAATAACTTGTTGCGCCAAAAACAAACACTGGTGACACATTCCCAGCCCTCGCCATACCCTATTACTTCCTGGACATTTGTGGCACAGATTCCATAACCGTCATATTTAAGTTGGGCGCTTAAAATTCTCTTTGAGCTTGCAGCCGCCAGGTACATAAGCTCGCGGTCAATCAGCGTGATTGCCTGAATGTGGTCCTGCACGGCTTTGTCCTGGAAGTTTATTTGCTCCATGTCATGTCCATTCGTCGAATACTCCTTCTCTTTGCTTTGTAGGAAACGATCAGCTTGCTTGCGAGTTTCAACCAAAGTTCCAGTCATTGTCAGGCTAAACTGTTGCTTCAGCTCGTCCCATCTCTTTGATGATGTTATCTTGCTTGGTGTAAGGTAACAGTTGTTTTTTTCAAGCTCAACCACTAACACAGGACCATCCTGTGAAGAAAGGAATGCTACATCTTGAACACATTGCACCTGATTTGAAGGGAGATTCTTTTTGACAACTGATATCTTGTCAACAGGGCTGTGCAGACGAGCACGATGAAGGATTGAAGAGCCCTGCTTGCTGTCCCATGTCAGAAACAACAGCCATCCGTACTTTCCGACGGCAACACTTATAGGGCTGGGGTACATCCCAAGACGGTTGTTTTCCGTGAACTTGTCCAGCTCCGGAATGATTGTGTGGCATACATAACCTACGTTAGATAGAAACGAGGTTAAATCTTCTGAACATAACGTCAGTACGGCAACTGGATCTTGCCGGTCCTTGTTCTTTACGTGATCGTTCCGTTGAACAAGTTTCCTCATTGTGGTCATAGTGGCACTACCGGCACGATTCCTAAGGGTACGAAGCAAGCCAAGGTTGCCGCGCTCATTACATAACTTAAGCCACCAGTTACTAAAGGAGGCCTTTAAGCTTTTTCCTACGTGGGGACAGTCGGGTAAAATGGTTTAGGAGAGAAAGATAAGCATCTATTGTTCCCTCCTCGATACTCTTTCGTATCAGTATAAAAGCCCCTTTGTTGCCTGTTTCGCAATCCGCCACAATAACAAATATTACTCTCCTTACACACTGCGCACCGTTCTCAAGGCACCATGAGCAAGCACGAATTGCTGGATGGTAGCTTACATGACCTTTTGCTTTGCACTCTTCGCACAGTTCTTTCATACCAAAGCATGTTTCACAAAAGCTTTGGCACTGTTCATAGCAATGCCCGAGAATGTGCTTTGTTACGAGAGATCTCGTTTGACAAGCCTCGCACGTCTGCAGGATTCGTACTTGCTTTTCGAACATTTCCTTACAGGATTCTGCAGTCTTTCCTGCTTTTGTTGCGTACTCTATAGCGCACGGTAGACTACATTTGTTATCAAGACTGGTCACAGAGGAAACGATGGCCTCGGTAACCAAGTTATCTTTAAGAAATGCTGTTGTAGGTTGGGGATTACTTTTGACGAAGTCAATTTTTAGATTTCTTGTTAATCCCACATTTTCCTTAAGCCTTTCGTCAAACTCGATAGCTGGTTTAAGCGCGGTTCCATCGTTGGCCAAACAGCAGGGATATGCAATTAGCTCACCCGTTTTGAGAACTGGAAGGGAGTTAAATATTTGTAATAGACTTAGATGGCCTAACGACAGCGGTTTCCAGACTCCAGGTTTGTTTGTATAGCCAGCTTGATGTTTGAGGCATGTCTTATATGCGGGTCCCCCGAGATTCATCCTCTTTTCGTTGTTGGTGTTGAGATGACTTCCTCTTCCTTCCTTGCAGTTAATGGGGCCTCTAATGAAGCAAGCGACTTTCCTCCCTCCGAGATAAGTAATGGAATTAAAAAATTCGATAACATCCTTATCATACTTGTGCAGAGGATCGTAATAAACTTCAAGCACATCTTTCAAATATTTATAAAATATACGAGACTTTTCAATCTTTCCTCTGCGGATTAAGTCATTGAGTTTTACGCATACCGGGTCTGCTGACTCAACACCGTAAATGAAGGAGGCACTGTCATCTTTGTCTATCTCGCTATCAGAGTTGCTTTCATTGTCAGACCTGTCAGTCGAGTCACTTCTTTCCTCCTCACTTTCTTCGAGGGAGTATTGAAGGGATTTGTTTCTACCAACACTGTCATCGCTATTAGATTCAATGTCACTTTCATTTTCCCCAAATGGTCTACAATTGAAGAAAGAAAGGCAACGAAATTACAACACAGAACGTTTAATAAAAATGCATTTTACTTGATATTAAACAAGCAAAATCTTGTCTATTCGTAGTTTCTTTATCTTTATCAAACGATAGTAACATACAACTAGAACTATAAGTCAGAAAGAAGTTACACGGATACTAAATTAAGTATTGTGATTGCTAGACTTTAACTTAACCTTATAAGTTTACTAATAACTGAAAGTAGTCCTTGTCGTACTTTTTAAATAAAGTTTCATCTAGAATAGTTAAGACAAAGCTATTACATAAAATGTGCCAAAATTGCTATTACACGATCGACTAGCAACTGAACAGGTTTGATTAGTTATTCGGTCTCCATTCCTACCACAAAATCCCTTTAACAGACACTGTAAGTTATTCTTCAATCAGATCGTAAATCGCTTAAAAAGGTCATTTAAGATCTTAATACTTTTGAACCTCATTTTTGAAATGAATTATTGATAAGAAGTTCATAATAGAAGAATCTCCCACTAAATACTGAGTACTGGTGACATAAACTGATAGTGAAAGGTATTATGTAAAACATCAGGAGAAACGGGACAGCTCAGTTTGTAACTTATTTTGCATTATAAGCAACTTGTGAGGAAAATGATAAAGTTAGATTAAGTTTTGACTATCCCGCTGATAACTTTTCTGAGAGAAGTCCCATTTCTTCAGGTTTCAGTATATTTACTCCAGGTCAGAGCTGTCGACGTCCGAGTCTTGCGAGGACTTAGCCTTTTTTCATGGTTGTTGATCTGTAAGGCAAACCACCTCTCCTTCTGACGTCATAGGATCACTCGTAGGAGCCTTTCTCTTGTTGGTAAAGCTTAATTTAGACTGAGTAGACTTTTTAGTTTTTGCAGAGCTCTCCTTGCAGCGGCTGTAATGTGCTAAAAAAAGAAAAGAAGCAAAGCTCGGTGTTAGGCTCTATTTATGGCCGATAGGAGTCAATTATGTAAGAGTTCAAAGTACCGGCATGAGCTACATGGACTACACGACGAGCTAATCCAAACACCAGTTGTGTTGAATTACGTTTTGACTTACACCGGGTAAGTTAGGTTTATTTGCGTTTTTTTTTTTTTTGAAAATTTCTTTCCTTCTGGAAAACTGGAGAAAAGAATATATGCTGTTATGCAACTTAGATAGACATCTAAACATTTAATCACCTAAAATTTGCATCGTTGTGTAATTTTTCTTTTACGTTTTTTTTGACAACTGCGCTTGCGCAGAAGTCACTATTGCCATCGTCTGAAGTTTCCGAAAGTAAGTAAGTAACAACAGAATATGGTTTGAGCGCAACAAGCGTATATCTTGTGGTCGTAGGCTTCAGAGGGGGAGAGGGACAACCCCCAAAAATTCTGATGAATAGTGGGAAATTATACATTGTATTTTTTCACCTTCTAAATAGTCTGTGCACAGCCCCCCCCCCCCCCCCCCCTCAAAAGAAATCGGAAGCAATAGTCACATGGGCCTGTGCGGTGCCTATTTTGTACTTTTCCTTTAGGTAATAATATGTATACATTGTGGAAATATCAACTTAATTGTTGTTGTCGTTGATGTATATAAAATAACCTACCCAACTTAAATTTCGAAATGATTCCACTGTGCTTACGATCAATGTCCACCTGTCTTTCAACTCCACATAACCCGCATTTGATGTGAAACGGCCATGTCACTAATTGGCCTTTGTACTTAGCAATAGTTTTTGTGGACGACAAAACAACACTGCTTCCATCAAGCTTTTGAAGATCTGTATAATATAAAACCGTGCTATCAATAAAAGATAAATTTCTTGCTGCCTACACTTTATTTTCCCACAACTATACTTTAAAAAATAGTGTGGTCCAAATCTAGATTCTACATAGATTTACATTAAACTCTGATTATAACTACTGCTCGCTCCCTGCTCTCACTCCACAGCAATAATTTGAAACTTAAACGTACCGATGTTAAGCTTTCCAAGCTCATCGTCAGACAAGGTCTTTGACATCGGTAGCGTAGCTGCGCTGGACGACGCTTTAGGATTTGTGTTACCGGAAGTGTTCCTGTAGGACCTGTCACCGTCTTTTGTGGTAATTCTAATAATTGGTGTTTTCGTGGAGAACACTAATTTTACTGGATACACCATGACTATTAATAGAAAAAATTTTACAGTTAGTTTGAAGCTTTTAAAGGGTATGGCTCTAAAATCGTCTTAATGAGCACGGTTACACATGCTTACCCATCAACTTGTCCACGCCATTTAAAATCGATGGCATCTCTAATTCTAACTGCCTGTCAGTCTCTATCTGATATCGCTCTTGACGGCCAGATACTCGGGAGCCTCTGTTCAACTTTATAGCGATGCTTTCTCCTAGCCCCAGCTCTTTTGCAGTTACGTGCAGCCCAGCAAAAGAACTAGAACATTAAATCGGCAAAACAACTAACTTGACGATTTTCAAGAAGATATTTGTCAGTAAAATGGAGCTGCCGTTAGCGGGAAAACGTAGAAGCATTTGTATGAAAACTAAAAGTAAGACTTCTCGCTTCTCAGCGAACCGATGCCCTTCAAACTTAATTGGTTAACTGTTTTACTAGTATCTTTAGTTGGTAAATCATAGAAATTTCAGAAAGTCAACTTTCCTCAAAGATCCTCAAATTATAGAGCATCAAACTCCCGACTTTTACCATACAGTTATTGTAAATTTGCCGTGTTTGCCCTCAACCAAGATGGCGACAGCAACCGTGAAAAGGTCTATTAAGTTAACGATCAAGACAAGCAAACTAGCTGAAATAGCTTCCAAGAACATAATTTATATCACTTCGTGTATAAACCAAATATAAAACTTACCGAACGTGCTCGCGTAGTTTCACCACACTTCCCCACTGACTGGAATCGACGCAGCATCGAAACTTATTGTTTTGAATGAAGTTATCGCCTTTGGCACTTTCGTGGTAGAAAAAGGCTACACACTCGATAGTTCGTCTTGTTGGTGCTGTGATTACTGTTTCGGTAGTTTATTTAAATACAAAAGTTTGTTGTGGTCTACGTCAAAGTAGAACTTCTGCCTTTGACAGGTATCTGATGATCTCTCTATATTCGTCGACCCAAGACATGTCCCCACAATAGTAGAGTTATGGTTTCTCAGTATTATTCAACAGTGGGAAAATGGTTGTTTGAGACCACGCGTTAATCAATATGTGTGATAGTAGCAACCAATCACCATCGACTGTTTACTAACTTTAAGCATTTAATTTTGTCACACCTTTCTGTTTCTTTATAATTTTTTCACATCTCATTGCTAATATATCATGGGGGCATTTATTATTCACATTTTATTTTTTCTCACGTCCTCTCTTATTATTGTTACGCATCATTTTCCTGCGCACAATCTGGCTTGCAAAACGTCATTTTCAACGTGAAATCGGCGGATCAAAAAAAACTCTCATCTCCTACGGGCCCTTACCATCATAATTTTCTTTCTTGTTTAAGATCACTGACATCTCAAAGTTGTAAATAATTCCAAATATTGACCCACCCGAAACACAAGTGACAGCATACTTTTTTACAATTAACCTTTCCTATGATGTACCTGCTGCTAAAAATGCTACTTAACCCACAATCTAGTACATGTATATGTTCCAGTTCAATTTTGTGTTGTGGATCAATTTTATCCTTGGTTTAATTCATATTTTCCAAATTTGTCTTGTGCTATAATGTTTGAAAAGGAAGAAAATACAGTTCAAATCAAGAGTAACATTTCACCAATACACATAAGTTATAACCCATGATATGGTTTGAAATATTCGTTTCGGGTCGCCAACTTAGACACCGTAAAAGGTAGTCAAGAAAAAACGCGTGCTGAAAAAGGGCAAAAAGTAAAGAAAGTGAACACTGTAATGCAGTTAGTTACGATAGAATTTTAGCCAAGAGATTGTAAAATATTGCACTTTGGACACTGAGTATACATAACAGTCAATGTAAAATTATCATAATATTTGCAATTACACTACCTCGAGTTTACTGCATCATAGTACTGAATATCTCTCTTACAATCTATCTCCTAAGTTATAGGGACCCAATGATCCCCAAAGTGAGCCTCGTGCACTTTACGGACCGAAAGAGATCTTCACAAACCTTATACCCCTTTCGTCGGTCCGTACCGTCCTTACAGATCGAAAAACGGTAAATACCCACTCTTGCCATGAAAATATCCTAAGTCCCACTAATGAGATGCGATTTACGGACCGTAAAATCCACTTTACAGACCGTATACCCCTTTTGTCGATCCGTTCGATCCGTACGGATCGACAAACCGTATATAACCACTCTTGCCATGAAAACATCCTACGTCCCACTAATGAGATGCGATTTACGGACCGTAAAACTCTCTTTACAGACCGTATACCCCTGTAGTCGATCCGTTCGAACCGTACGGATCGACAAACCGTATATGACCACTCTTGCCATGAAAATATTCTAAGTCCCACTAATGAGATGCGATTTACGGACCGTAAAACGCTCTTTACAGACCGTATACCCCTGTTGTCGATCCGTTCGATCCGTACGGATCGAGAAACCGTATATCACCACTCTTGCCGTGAAAATATTCTACGTACCACTAATGAAATGCGATTTACGGACCGTAAAACACCCTTTACGGACCGTATACCCCCTTTGTCGATCCGTTCGATCTGTACGGATCGACACATGGCTTATACGGACCGTTACGGTGCGGGTGTATTGGACAACCCTCCAAGTTTTAACTGGCGATCGCGAGTTAAAAGTGGATAGCGAGTTGTAAGTCGCGATCGCGAGTTACAACTGGCGATCGCGAGTTATAACTAGCGATAGCGGGTTGTAAGTCGCGATCGCGAGTTACAAGTGGCGATCGCGAGTTACAACTTGCGATCGCGAGTTATAACTGGCGATGGCAAGTTTTAACAGGCAATCGCGAGTTAGAAGTGGCGATCACGAATTATAAGTGGCGATCGCGAGTTATAAGTAGCGATCGCGAATCGTAAGTAGCGATCGGGAGTTATAAGTGGCGATCGCGAGTTGTAAGTCGTAATTACGAGTTATAAGTGGCGGTCGCGGGTTATAAGTTGCGATCGAGAGTTATAACTTACCATCGCGAGTTTTAAGTCGAAATCGAGAGATATAAGTTTGTATTGCTATTTATTAACTTTGATCGAGAGTAAGTCAAATCGCAAATTCTTTAAGTGGAAATGAAAAATATCGAGATGTCCCTTATGGGCCACCGTACAAAACAGTCGTCAAAGAGTAAAAACTCACCTGAGCTCAGCTTAGACCTCACGTTTATTGTAAAGATTATTAAACGGCCAATTATAACAATCAATCTTCATAAAAGCTTCTCTGATTGACGCTCTGCTTCCCGAGGATTATTTTAGGAGTCGAACAAGGCAGAGGATATAACATAACTTTTACAATTTTGCCTGGTTGGCAAATATTGACACTGGCGTTTGTTTCTCATTGAGAGGAGACTGGTAACGAGAGAAAGAGCGATGCGTTCACTGCGTTCACACAGTCGCGTGTTATTTTGCGCGTTGTTAACGCGAAATTTCTCGGACCCCGGTTGTTCAGACCTTCCGATATAAAAATGCAAACCAAACCTAGCTATTTTCCCCTTACCAATCGAACACCTTAATTTTACCCCCCTTTTTTCAAACCCCTGGGTTTTCGCGCGGAGTGCAACTATTTTGTTTTTGCCTTTAATAATCTCATGAAAACTGACGATAGCCTAGCCCATGAGCTGTATCTAAAGCCCTGAATGCTATATCCTGTAAAATCGATGATAAATTAAATTTGTATCTCTGGTAGCTGAGTTTCTAGTTTGCAACCAAGATATTGAACGGATTATCAATCTAAAAGAACCTGGAAACGCATAAAAACAGTGTTGCTGAGTCTAGAAAGCTAAGAAAACCGCATCTGAATAGTTCCCTTGCAAACAAAGATTCTCGGGAATAATCTGGGAAAAGTTGAATGCTTTAAAACTTGGTTCGCTGTAAAGTTACCTGATATGAAGAATTGTTCTGCGAAGTTCCGAAGGAAGCGGCCAAGAAAATGGTCAAAGTCATCAAGAAGAACAGATGAAACATTATCAGTCTTTCTTAGTGGAACTGACCGTATTCACAAATGGAGCAAAGTATGAATGTAAGCTTAGAGTTCCGGAGTTGAGATCTCTCTCATGAATACAAAACGCGAAAATATACGAGATGGAAGGCCTATTGTTTTTATGTTTTCGTTCATGACAGATAAGACAAAGCTGATCTTGGCATTGATGCATGACTGATAGCACGTCTCTCCTGTGTGGTCCACGGGCCGATTTAAGGCCGTCTTATGGGTTTTTATGTAAACGGTTTTCTCTCTATATATAAAGGTTTAGAGAAAACCGTTTACATAAAAACCCATAAAACGGCCATAAATCGGCCATAAATCTCTCTATATAAAGGTTTAGGGAAAACCGTTTACATAAAAACCCATAAAACGGCCATAAATCGGCCCGTGGACCACACAGGAGAGACGTAACACACATTTTATGTAAGGTAAGCTGTTTTTTATTGAAATCCTTTCATTTTCGTAGGTTACAGAACGATAGGTTTTTTGCCCATACAAATCCTTATATTTTGAATGTTACGCAACAATGCCGATGCTCGCCGGTGCTCATATTTCGAGCTTGGGCTACCTGTGCTGATAGTCTAAAGTCTAAACTGTTTAGGACGAAAAGACAACCGACCCGTCCAGAGTGGGCTCCCTGTATGCACCTTCCCCCACCCCGCTTATTACCCCACATACACTTACTCTTTGTTACCCCAAATACCCGACCCTCTTTTCTCCTGACCTCAAATTAAATCTCCAACCCGACCCAGCCCTAAATCAATTTTTTTTTGGATCCGCCGATACAAAACACGAGCAAAGTTCGGAAGGAAGGGATAGGTCAGAGAAAATTTTTTATGCCTCACTTGGAAAATGGTGTTGAATGTTCTATGACCTGCCTAGAACCCCTGCCTACAGATATTTAGTATTTCCCTGCCATAATAGCTTGCCGAAGTGAAAGGGCGGGGCGCGCGAGCTTGAGAGTAATGGCGCTTGGAAGTAATGGCGTAGGAAAGAACGGGACGCGCGAGACAGATAAGCTGCGGGCAATCGAGACTCAGCATAGAAACGAGGTTGAAGTACATGTTAACACCTGTTGGTGATTCCTTCTCATAGCAGTGTGCCCATGTTTGTTCGAGATGCAGGCCATGCAGGTGGGATAATTACGCTCAAGTACATATGTGACCGAGCCGCGCGAGTAGGGGAGGTAGCGAATGACAACCAACGAAAGACAAAATGCGTACAAAACAAACAAGAATTTAATGGCCAATTAGTGGAAAAGAAATACAATAACAAATACTAGGAAAACGAATAAAGCAACAAAAAGGGAAAGAAAAGGGGCGATGAAAAGGGCAATAACGCCACTCCAGCGAGAGGAGAACTCTACAAAACTATGTCCTACGGCTTGACTAGTGAACGCGGCAACTGGAACTGTAGTAATGCGTAGAAACGCTACCTGCAGGCGTATTTATATCGCGCGGAACACAAACAGCTCGCATCCTGTTATTAGCAATACTATTGGACAACTATAGCTAGGTAAGCCACAAAACAGTGAAATCTTCCTCTTGGCAATACGCCTGTTTGCGAAACACTATTATCGCCTCACCGCAGAATACATACGTGTTCTGTTAATACAATAGGAGGAAACAAATGGAGAGTTTCGCGGTTAACTACAGCAATGGCGGCAAATTAAAGCGAGCTAAAATCAATTAATTTCTTTCCTGTTTATGGGTGTAAAGGCGGAGAAATCACAGAGCTAGATAAAACACGGCTAACCAGAAAGCACAACTAAAGAAACGCGTACCGTGGGAAAACGATAAACGGTACCGCAAAAAAATAATACCGAAAAGAAAATGCTTTGTGAGCTAATTATCAAGCTCGGTTACACATATAC